TGTTTTTTAAAACCGGTTTTTTTGGTGTGTGTTTTTTTCCACAAGGGGGGGGGGTTTAGGCGCTTTTCCCCCCCCCCCCCCCACAAGGGTTAGTGCAGTAACTGGGCAGCTAAGACCATGTGGCATATTACCAGAACAGCCTGATATCCAGGTGCACAGACAAAAAGATATTGGGAGAATATTTCTACATTTTGGAAAAGAAGGGAGAAGGGAGTTATGTCTGCCCCACCAAGAGGGTCATTGGCCTTTACTCACACTTTGAGGTACTTTACAGGCTCACATTTACAAATACACCAGCAGTACTCTGCTAACACTATTTTAAGGCTTGATGAGCAGTTATATTTAGGTTTACGTCGGCATGTTAAATACACACAATGCCAGCTTATAGTACACAACCTGCAAAATTCCATCTCCAACCCAAAAAGGTTGGCACAAAAAGGTACTTTTCAATTGGCCAACCCCCCCCCGCAAACAAGCATACAGTTCACATCAGTATCACAGTTCAGCTCTCAGTCATACAGATTTGCTTGCCAACCAATTCATTCCTCGGGTCATCTAGTTGCTGGTTTCAGGTAACATACCGGATTCATTTTGCGATTCAAATAATCTGTGCAGGATTCACAGCATCACTGATGAGAAATTCAATTCCTGTTCATACTTACTTAGACAAACTGGCAATTCAGGATGCCAGGTATTATCCTCTTGGCATTCAATCACATCACTTCCACTCATGACATAGCCAGGAAGGCATTTAATAGCAACTTTGCTTCTATAAATATAGTTTGGTGAATATGCAGTTTCTTTTCTCCCATTTTGAACTGCTGGCTCTGGACACTTGACCACTGAAAGAAAGTATAAAAGAACAGTAAGCTCTGAAAAAATTGTAGACAGGTCTTTTATTTTACAGACACCATAAACAGGATTTTTTTTATTTTCAGTGAACCAAATTTAAAATGTATTCCTCCAACACATTTCCTGGGACTTGGACAAGGAAAGAAACAAAGGTCAAGTGTTTTAAATGAGCCTTTATAAAGTGTATTACGATCAAGATCTACCAGGCAAATAATGCCATATTGTCTCATATAAAATGTGCCCCCAAATAAGAAATGCCTGTTTTGAAAGGCAGAACAAAGGAAAAAGGATGTTTCCTTGAAAGTACTGGTATGTAGCTGTAACAGAGTAGCAGCTTCTGCAGCATGAGCCCATCCCTTCCCCCCCACCAGCTAAGGGGAAAGAGCAAGCATCCACAGGCAGCAACTAGGGAGCCCTATTTAGTGCTTACAGAGTTGTCTTTGCTTTCCCCTAGCAGAGACAGCACATGCTATTGCCATCGTTACTTGCTTAAAATACACACTCCAATGTCCAGCAGCTGAATTTGAAAAAAGGTGTACACGTGAACAAATACAGCAGTTAGGGTATGTGAGTGAAGTAGGAGCTGCCTTGGGCTTTATGGTAAGCCCATTAGGACAGGAAAACATTCCAAGTAGCAAACAGCATGTAATTTTGTTCCAGAAGAGAAATGTATCACTTACTTCCCTATATCCAAATGGCAAATGTCCACCTTCTGACATTTCTCTCTGCTCATGCTTAGTGCACGTGTGCAGGGGATGCATCACCAAGACAGCACAGAGTTTGCAGTGACAGGCAGCTTTCCTACATGGCCCTGCTGTTCTTGCCAGTAGTGGGTTGCACATGCCAGGCTGCAGAGGCCCCAGGGAAGGCCAGCAGGGCAGGAGCCCACAGCATGCAGCCCCTTGCCTCACGCACTGATCTGGCGGGCACAGGTCCCCCCTGCAAGCATGCACAGCGGCGAGAAGCCAGACCCCACACCTGCGCCGGTAGCAGGCAGGCAGCTGTGGAGCAGAGGAGCGGGTGGGGAGGCAGAGTCAGGATCTGGTCTGGTGCAGCAGCCCTTTCCTCCTGCCAAGGGCAAGGGGCTGCAAACCCGGGTCCCTAGCCCCACAGCCATAGCAGTGGGGGCCCCGCAGAGCCTGGGGGCCGTTCATTTTAATGACAGATTTTGGGACTTTTGATGTATTTATTTATTTAAAATCAGGGAAAACCAGGATCCCCGTTGATCACCAAACTGAAAAGCTTCTCACTATAGAAAGATGAATACAAAGAATAAACAACATAAAAAATAACCACCTTTGCACTGAGGGGCGGGTGAACTCCAAACTCCATTATCATCTCCATTGGAACTACAATGAATAGTTGCCTCCCCAATAAGTGAGAAAGGGACTGAACCTCTCGGCACATCATTGCACTGGTAAGTTACTGATTTCCCATAGGTATAATCTTCCTGTTCAGAGTGCTTCCCGTTTTCTATGTCTGGAGGTGGTAAACAAGGAATTGCTGCACGATATTAAAATAAAGAAGAAAACCGTTGTTTAAGAAGCCACAGCAAAAGTTTACAAGGTACAACATTTATAAGCGACAGCGCAGTCATTCAGGCAAGTAAAAATAATTACAACAGGTTTAACTATTTTTTCCTGCAATATTTAAGGAAACTGAACTGCCAAGGTATCAACTACAGACAAACTGACATCATGTTAAGAATACTGGTTATACATAGCAATTCCCCCAAATTAACTGACACATCCGATAAGTTGTGTTAGTGTAGTAAAAAAAAGCCACAGAAAAATCTAGGACATCACCAAAAATATCAGAAAGAATAAAAAAAATGGAAATGTACAACATAATGCAGATTTTTCTATTAAAATTAATTGATAACTGTAATGCTATTATGGTCAACAATAGGAAGTGTGGAAACCATATTGAAGAACACCAACACACACTGCTATTTCATTACAGAACTGAAAACAAACAGTATTCTATTAACATTTCTGCAATGACAGTTTCCAAAAAAACCAAATAGATGAAGTAATCTCTCTGAGATCGTTATGTATTTACACCCTTTAAGGACTGCATTAATGATTTCCTGAAGTCCCACTGTAAAATTCTCTCACAAGGTTAAGTTTAGCTCCCTAACATATCAACAGCCAGAACATGAAAAACAAAAAAATAAGCTGCAGATTCATGTTAACATTATTTGCAAGTAAAGCTAATTACAAAATAAGAATCTAGTGGCAATACAAACAAAGTCTATAGACAATCTCATGGTTATAGGGGATAAAAAGATTTGTGTATGAAAACTTCAGGCAACGATGCCGAGACTTGCAATTCAAAGGACTAAAAGTCTGCAACATGTGCTCAATGGAAAATACAAAATAGTTACCTTATTAATCTGACTTTGCTCTGTGATTCAATCTGACACTTTGAATTAGATAAGGCCAATCACAACTTCCAGTGATCCATTCACCCATACTTAATCATGGTGATGGATCATTCAAAAAGGTAAATTCATACAAAGGTAAATCCTTCAATAAAAGTATGAATTTAGCCCATATACACTAGCTACCATAACTTGGACAGCCTTACACACAGCATCCAATAGCTTGTAAAAAGTAGTTAAGAAGCTACTTTATTCTCTTTAGTCATCGGTTTCCTTTCACGTACAGTTTATCTGTTGCATAGAGTAGCAAAGTGAGAACTTGCTCTTAAAACGTATAAACAGACACTGTTCACTTACACTCGCAGTGTGGAATTCCTTTATTCCAACGAACACCTTTGCCAGCAATCTCACACTGAGTAAACTGTGGTCCAATTAATCTGTACCTAGGTTGGAGAAAAACAACAACAACAACAACAACAAACAAACAAAAAAACCCCTTTCAACTAAGTTACTGGAAGCTCCCAACCAGCAGCTCATACACATAGATATACTTCTATCTCACCAATGAATGAAGCAGCAGCACCAAGTTTTTAAGCTGCAATTATGTTTGCCAAGAAAAACTGTCTATTTGGCCATGTATTCCAAACACCGAAGCCAGAAGAACTGCACATAAAAAACAGTGATTCTAACTCGTAAGTCAATGAAGATCTGTTTTTCAAGATGCGAGCCACGGCGAGGGTTGCACATGTTGCA